CCAGTGTATAAAGTAAAAAATCTAATCGTCACTGAAGAGACATTTTAATGAAAGACAGCCAATGTGTTTTACTTCCAAGAATTCAGACAATACAAAACTTGCTTAAAAAGATATCTTATTTTATAATAGAATTTACTAACAAAAGTAATTTAAAAAATGACCTACAATGCAAAGCTAGCTTATGAAGATATCTTCTTTTATAATAGAATTTACTAACAAAAATAATTTTAAAAATGGCCGACAATACAAAGCTTGCTTATAAAGATATCTTATTTTATAATAGAATTCACTAGCAGAAGTAATTTAAAAAATGACCGACAATACAAAGCTTGCTTGTAAAGATATCTTATTTTGTAATAGAATTTACTAACAAAAGTAAAAAAAAAATAACAGCTAAGGCTGTTATCACAAATATTTACTTTAACTGGGCTGGAGTTGGGACTTTAATTAAAGCCTTCCCCTGAACCAATTGATCTTTTAAGGCGGCAGCCAGCAGATAGGGACCATTTTTCAAAGATATTAAATTGGATTAGATATTCCTTCTGGCCAATGGTATCGATTGGTGACACCCTTCAGTCGTTTCTGCCGCCCCACCAAACAGTCATTGTCCTGCTGGGGGATGGGTGGGGGGGGGGGGGGTCTGAGGACCCGACGTTTGAAGTCAATATAGGTACCCCACACTTCAACTCAATATAGGTACCCGACATTTGAACTCAATATAGGTACCCAAAATTTGATGTCAACATAGGTACACGACATTTGCAGTCAATATAGGTACCCAAAATTTGATGTCAATATATGTACCCAAAATTTGATGTCAATATATGTACCCAAAATTTGATGTCAATATATGTACCCAAAATTTGATGTCAATATATGTACCCAAAATTTGATGTCAACATAGGTACACGACATTTGCAGTCAATATAGGTACCCAAAATTTGATGTCAATATATGTACCCAAAATTTGATGTCAATATATGTACCCAAAATTTGATGTCAACATAGGTACACGACATTTGCAGTCAATATAGGTACCCAAAATTTGATGTCAATATATGTACCCAAAATTTGATGTCAATATATGTACCCAAAATTTGATGTCAATATAGGTACACGACATTTGCAGTCAATATAGGTACCCAAAATTTGATGTCAATATATGTACCCAAAATTTGATGTCAATATAGGTACCCGACATTTCAACTTCAAACAGATACCCGGCCATTGCAAATATACAAGGGGCACTTTACAAGTAAAAGATGTAAAACACCGAGTAAAATCTATTTGATAGGTCACGTATTACGGCCTGGTACAATTACTGGTGTGTGATTTAAGAAATTGTTTTCAATTTCGAAAGATTCTTTAAATATATTTAAAAAATTAAACTTTTGGATGGTTTTTCAACCACTTAAAAGAAAATTTAAAGTTTTGTGACCGAATAACAAAGTTAAAGAATCGGACATAGAAAAAAAGTTCTATTTCTAATTAGCTAAAACACTAAAAATCAATGTAGTTCCTAGCCGGAGGTTATACTCTCGAAATCTACATGTTCACTTTAACCTGAGGTAAATTAAAAAAAAATACGGGCATCCTACACCATAAAGCTCATCCTACACCAGAAAGCACACCCCAACTAGGAATGAGTATACATTTTTAAAACTTGGGTTGTATTCATCTTTCTACAAACCCAGTCTTTTTTTTTAAGGATCGGTGTAATGGGCGACAGCCCAAGGCGCCATTACTTTAAGGGTGCGGCAAAAATTGGATTTTCAAAGTGTTAAATTGATTTCTAGTTTAATATAATGTATTCGGTATAAAATTTGGCTGGATACGGGGTGGGGGAATTTAATACTGTTTTGTGTTGAATAATGGATTTTTTAAAAACGAATATTTTTAAAAAAATTGGATTTTTAAAAGCGTCACACCAATATTAAAACCAGCCACCAGCTACATTTAGTGAATGAAATATTAGCTGTTTATGGACGTTTTTATGAGGTGGTATATTCTTTCTAACCTTAGCATTTGCCTACGTTAGCACGTTTTCATATAGTAGCACATAGTTTCCGAAGCTAACATACCTACGTTAGCACGGAATTTCTTATAGCAGAACATTGTTTCATAAATTAAATTATGCCTACGCTAGCAAGTTTTCCTACAGTAGCATATAGTTTTATAAATAAAACATGTTGATGTTAGCTCGTGTTTTCCTAGGTTAGCACATGTTTTCCAATGTCAGCACATATTTTCAACATGTTTTCCAGTGTTAGCACATGTTATCCATGGTTAGTACATGTTTTCCACATGTTTTCCAAGGTGAGAACTGGTATTCTTGTGTCTGGACACCCTTCAGTAAAACCTACAACTGTTGACAGGTATTAACTAGAAACAGCAACAACACTGGATTAAATAGTTATATGGAGAGGAGTGTCTTGAAAGCAACCAGGCAAAACAAAATCGCATGACAACCTTATAAGACAGAAACAGATGGCAACAAGACAGAAACAAATGGCAACCAGACAAAAACAAATGACAACCAGACAAAAACAAATGGCAACAAGACAGAAACAGATGGCAACCAGACAGAAACAAATGACAATCAGACAGAAACAAATGACAACCAGACAGAAACCGATGGCAACCAGACTAAAACAAATGGCAACCAGACTAAAACAAATGGCAACCAGACAAAAACAAATAGCAACCAGACAGAAACATATGGCAACCAGAATAAAACAAATGGCAACCAGACAAAAACAAATGGCAACCAGACAGGCAACCAGACAGAAACAAATGACAACCAGAATAAAACAAATGACAACCAGACAGAAACAGATGGCAACCAGACTAAAACAAATGGCAACCAGAATAAAACAAATGACAACCAGACAGATCAAATGTCAACCAGACTAAAACAAATGGCAACCAGAATAAAACAAATGTCAATCAGTCTAAAACAAAGGACACCGATTGATCCTATAACAGCTCCCATCTAATTGAAATTCTCAAGAGGTCAATTTATTAATTTGGCTCCATGTTTGTTTTTCGCCTTCCGATTTAACACAAAAAAAAAATTAAACACGATAATGATGGAGCGCAATGTGTAAAAAAATTGAAACTTTAAAAAAATTGCATTGCTATTATAAAGTGGTACATGCTGTCTTATTTTAGTTTAGATTTTGACAAAACGTATTGTTGGAATTTTTTAGAACCTGTTTGATTAAGCTCTGGTCAAGTAGGAGACGTAATCGTATACATGGGACAAGGTGGAACGTGAGGGCAGGGTATGAGAGCAAGACCTTTAGCAGCTGGTCGTGGCGTTTGTGGTTGTGGTGAAGTTGATGGTGTTGTGGTGGTGTTTGTGGGGATGGGGAGTGGTGAGGTTAATAGAGGTAAATCTTCACAAGCATCTTCAAGACCATCTCTATGCCCCAGTTAGAAAACATCACAAGAACTGCCTTGATGCCAATCGAAAATCAAGTTTGACAAAGTAAATGGTCAAGCTAATGCCACCAGACCATTGCCACTTTGACAAAGTAAATGGTCAAGCTAATGCCATCAGACCATTGCCAATTATTTGACAAAGTAAATGGTCAAGCTAATGCCATCAGACCATTGCCAATTATTTGACAAAGTAAATGGTCAAGCTAATGCCATCAGATCATCGACGCTAAGTTTCAAGCATAGGCTACTAACACATTCAATAGCAAGACAGAATATGTAACCATTTGCTTCGTTAGAGCAAGACTGTTCTAAATGCACTTTTATAAAATATTCACAACGTAACTTTAAAATTTTGTTTTCCTTAGAACAGTCTGGCTCTCGGGAAACGATGTGTAGACTTTTTCTCATTACTGTATTCCACACGATGAGGTAACATTCATCCCAGACAATAACGATTCAATATTTTACAATTAGAAAAGTAAGGTTACATTTAACATGCGAATCGGACGATTTATTGCTGTACATCTTTAGACAAATAAGGTTAAATTTAATATACAGCCGCTCTTGGCAAAAATACATTCATCACATCTTGCTGTAAAACTTGGCTGACATTTGCCTAAAAGCGTTGAGTACATACCCCACGAAAGACGGGTGACATTTGGCCTAAGCATTAAATTGAAGCGTATAGAAAAATAAAAACCCAACAAAAACCAACCAACATTGGGGGATGTGTATGATTATGTCCCCTCAGAGGCCAGGCTAGCATTTGATCAGATCAACAAGATGTCCATGGCCCCATCATGTGACGAAAGGTCGAATAGAGAATTGAAAATAAATCTATTTGCCAAAGTCCATCCCGGCGGCTACCCCGGCGCAGCGTGAACACCCGGACAGGGGGCGCTCTCCAAAGGTCAGAGCTACAAGTGTGACACCCCATTCAATAATGCATTCGGCCACTAGATGGCGGCCTGCACTGGGCGACTACTGACGACCGACTTATTTTATTTATTAGCTTTTTTTTTATTTTTAAATACATCCCACCCCCCTGACACCTTTTCATCATCCTCCCACCCCCCCTGACACCTTTTTATCACCCTCCCACCCCCTAGAGTTGACTGGTTTTGGCAGGAGCCCAAGCAGAATGCACATGTTTCATAACTACAGATAACAAGGTCGAGTCCACTTAAACCAATTGTTGGGGGGGGAGTTAAAACGGTACATGCATTAACCATGGCTTAAAGGACAAGAATGGCCGCTGGTAGAGGAGACAGATGGAGATGTCCACATGACATGAACATTATGTCGTGGACATTTATCTAAGCTATAAGGACATTTCGTGTAGTGAGTTGACAGAAATGTCCACTCGGCATAAACATTATGTCGTGGACACGTATTTAAGCTATATGGACGTTTAGTATACTAGGTTGACAGAAATGTCCTTTCGACATAAAAATTATGTCATGGACCCACCAACATACTGGCACATACAGCACCAGAAGAAAAGACGTCTATGGAAGCTACAGATGAGACGTGTAATGACATGAAGCCAGACTTACCTGGGACGGCCACCTCCTCGTCTGAGGTCTCGTCTTCTGTGCCGGAGGAAGAGATGTTGGTCGAGTCTTCCCCAGCCATGATCCGGCGGATTCGTTTCTTGGACATCACCTCCAGCTGCTCCAGGCATAGCTGCTCCAGCTCATCACGGGGGATACTCTAGAGTAGGATAGATAGGATAAGTGTGGGATACAAGATATGGATACTCTAGAGTAGGATAGATAGGATAAGTGTGGGATACAGGTATGGATACTCTATAGTAGGATAAGTGTGGGATACAAGATATGGATCCTCTAGAGTAGGATAGATAGGATAAGTGTGGGATACAGGTATGGATACTCTATAGTAGGATAAGTGTGGGATACAAGATATGGATCCTCTAGAGTAGGATAGATAGGATAAGTGTGGGATACAAAATATGAATACTCTAGGATAGGATAAGTGGGGGATACAACGTATGGATACTCTAGAGTAGGATAGAGAGGATAAGTGTGGGATACAAGATATAGATACTCTAGGGTAGGATAGATAGGATAAGTGTGGGATATAAAGTATGGATACTCTATAGTAGGATAAGTGTGGGATACAAGATATGGATCCTCTAGAGTAGGATAGATAGGATAAGTGTGGGATACAAAATATGAATACTCTAGGATAGGATAAGTGGGGGATACAAGGTATGGATACTCTAGAGTAGGATAGAGAGGATAAGTGTGGGATACAAGATATGGATACTCTTGAGTAGGATAGATAGGATAAGTGTGGGATACAAGATATGAATACTCTAGGATAGGATAAGTGGGGGATACAAGGAATAGATACTCTAGAGTAGGATAGATATGATAAGTGTGGGATACAAGGTTTGGATACTCCGTAGGATAGATAGGATAAGTGTGGGATACAAGGTATGGATACTTTAGAGCAGGTTAGATGGGATAAGTGTGGGATACAAGGTATGGATACTCTAGAGTAGGATAGATGGGATAAATGAGGGATACAAGAAATTGGTATCGCTAGAGTAGTATATATGAGATAAGTGTGGGATACAATATATGGATACTCTAGAGCAGGATAGATGGGATAAATGAGGGATACAAGATATGGATACTCTAGGATAGATAGGATAAGTGTGGGATACAATATATTGATACAATTTAGGAATATAGGTGGCAATCAACGTAGGGTACTACGATCTTTGACAGAAGGAGCCTTAATTAATACTTGAAAAGATAATTTAAAATAAGTAGTGTCGAAAGTACCTATCATTCTGATTTTAGCCAGAAGGCTAAAAGGCGAGAAAGTAAACGTTTGAGTGGAGGAGCATGTCAAACAGCTGGGTCTATCATTAGATAGAGGAAGGAAACAAAAACCTTGATAAGAGAATAACAATATAAAATAAGAGACGCTCATACACAAAGGGTGCAGGCCTAAATCTAGAAAATACCAAAAAAAAAATAATGTATTTGAAAAATTTGCCAATGGAATACTAGGAATATATATATATATATATATATATATATATATATATATATATATATATATATATATATATATATATATATATATATATATAATATATAAAGTAGTATATATATAAATAAAGTAGAGACGTATCAGTACATCAGCTAATACCATATTTATGCACGTAAACCAAAGGGGTGCGATTTTCACGGTTTTACATGCTTAACGAAGAGAAAAACCCACACACAATTGCAATATCCAATACAACATCACGTGATTCGGCGGGGTTAAAGCAGGGGAGGGAGGGGGGTAGGCGACTGTTAGGAAAAGGGTGGGCTGATGCATGTTCAAATATCGTGTGTATGATGGTTCAAATCCCGGCCATGAAAATGCCAGCGCAGAAAGGAATAAAAAATCTATGCACACTGCAATTGTCAGTGGCCGTCCCTTCCCTGGATCACATTACCATGTTTATTGGGGGACATAAAAACCGTTTGAAACCGCAGCTCTTCTCGGCCGTCCGCCCCGGACATCGATCGGCGCTGGCCCTGTCCCCGCGATTTGCAAATTTCTCAAAACTGCGTAATTGCATGGTCAAGATATTGATGGGCTTCTCCAACACTCAAAACCTCAAGGAAATGAAATGGCCTTCATTATGGGGGCCGTAGACGGGCTTTAATTACGAGATTCAGCCGGGTCGATGCCGGCAGGCACCACAATTGCCTTATGATGTGACGGGACGGGGCTCTACACACGGCCGCTGGTCAGTGGGTTACAGGCTCCATTTGATGTTTGTGGTGGGGGGCGAGTTATGTACACGGGGAGAACACGCTCTTCGCAGGAGTAGGCCCTTTATATATATGTATATATATATATATATATATATATATATATATATATATATATATATATATATATATATATATATGGACCTACAAATATGTAATGGTAATATATGGAGGGCAGATTAAGATGCTATTAAACAAATGATAGTGTATGCATCATACAACAATAGGGTAGCAATAGGGTAGGCCTAGTGTAGTAGCTGAGTAAAGGTAAACCCCGCCAGGGTGTCAGTGTATTTACGCTGGACATTGGAGAATATGGCTGAGGTGAGTGGTGTGGTGAATGGTTGGGTGAATGGTTGGGTGAATGGTTGGGTGAATGGTGAGTCTTAGGGAACTTATGAATGGTGAGTCTTAGGGAACTTATGAATGGTGAGTCTTAGCAGGGAACTTATGAATGGTGAGTATAATGGAACTTACGAATGGTGAGTCTAAGGGAACTTATGAATGGTGAGTCTTAGGGAAATTATGAATGGTGAGTCTAAGGGAACTGATGAATGGTGAGTCTAAGGGAACTTACGAATGATGTGGTGAGACGAAGTGAACTTAATCAATGTCAAACATGGAATTGGTAAATGGACACACGGTCATAATTAGACCTTTAATTTAACTCAACCCATAGTATTGGTGGTGTCCGAGAATGGACTTTTCCGAAACTAGTTATCTTAGGTTGTTGGTGCTATTGACATCTCAGGGTTTTGTGTTGGGATCAGAGAAATTAGGGTTAGGTGTATGTTGGGACATGGGTTAGGTGTATGATGGGACATGGGTTAGGTGTATGATGGGACATGGGTTAGGTTTATGGTGGGACATGGGTTAGGTGTATGGTGGGACATGGGTTTAGGTTAGGATAACCGTTGGCATTATCAAGTTGTATTGGTATTTGGCTTACTCTAGGCAAATTAACATTCCATTATCGGTGTCTTTATTTGACATTGCTATAACACATGTCCTCTAAGCGCCCCTCCCCTAAACAACAACCGAAAACAGCAACAATGGACATTAAATTACCACGCAAAGTCTCAAGTAAAATGTTCATAATTCGCTTTCGATAAGCAACAAAAGTAAACAACAAACTCAGCAGATATTAGCACACTCTAACCTCATGTAAGACCCAACCACCGGACTATCTATCCACAAACATCACCTGGCTCCGGAGCCGTGCAGATCGTCTGCAGTTGGCCACCGAAAGCAGACGTGAAATAATAGCAACTTTCTAGTGTCAACACGCCGGCGTCCCTGACACTCCGACTTACCGAGCGGTTCCCCCCTGGCCGTATCTTAACAGGCTTGTGTTCATTTCAAACACGGGTTCATCGTGTTTTCGTTTCATTTCAAATCTGGTCGCACGTCGTGATTAACTTGAGGACTTGATGGACACATCTAAACAAAGCCGGGGCTACGGCGCGACACAGCTGTCTGCCTGCTCATTAGACCCGTCCTGCGCCGCACTGGCTACTTTAACGTTGGGCAACCCGTTAACAAATTGTCTTCCTCGCTAGCTGAATGCTGAGCAACCCGTTAACAAAGTGTCTTCCTTTAACGCTGGGCAACCGATTAACAAAGTGTCTTCCTGTTACTTTAACGTTTGGCAACCCGTTAACAAAGTGTCTTTCACTACTTTCAGCCTAGTTGCATTTGAATAACTTATTAACAAAGTGTCTTCCTGTTACTTTAACGTTGGGCAACCCGTTAACAAAGTGTCTTTCACTACTTTCAGCCTAGTTGCATTTGAATAACTTATTAACAAAGTGTCTTCTTGTCTATTTTAAAGGTGGGCAACCCGTTAACAAAATGTCTTCTTGACTACTTTGGCAAGCTGTTAACAAAGTGTCTTCCAGCCAAGTTGAATGTTGATCAACCCTAACTACTTTGACGAAAAACTACAAACTAAGAATGCGCTTCCAAAAAAGTTTCAATTAAAAAAAAAAAAAGCTTTTAAAATCTCACTTATCATATAACAAAAACTTGCCCTATTGCTTTTAAATAAATTTTATATAATTTTTAAAAAGTGTTTTTAAAACTTTATTATTGTAACTTTTTGAATATTTGTTTTCACACTAGATCTATAATCTTTAGAATTTTACAAACTAATCTATCCACAATTTAAATTAGGTCCCTTTCCTACAGCCAAAACAATGCAACAAACAAAATAAAACGCTTTTTGTGTAATACTGTTTTTTAACCCCACTCGTCACTAAAGAGCAGCAAGTATTAGTAAACCATCCTTTATCTCAACCATCACAAAAACACCACATTTACCCCCTTTGTTGTACCACAGATGTGTGGGAAGGGAGGATGGGGGACACAACAAGGGGAGGGAATCACTGCTCCACGCCACAGTAAGTGAGAATTCATTAATTTTATTTTATGAACAGTGGCCTATCTGCATGCTAAAAATAATACATTTTTCTTTTGTCCGCGTTCACTGCGAAAAGGGGGGCGGGGGTGACGTATTGTGTTGGTGATTATTCGGGGACCAAATTAATCACCCCGATAACACACGCTTCATTTATTTCATTATAAATAAATGTTAAAAATATTTTTCATTTGCTCGTTTAATCGGCTTGCCCAACGCACGCATCAATATTCTATTTGTAACGGCCCATAAAATACCATTAGATTCGACAAATTCTATGTATAAAATAAATATTAATAAGCAAGCCATGAGGGAAATATTATTAATGACTCGAAAACTATATTGTAACGGGGGAAAAAGTTGCATTAAATCAGAGGAAAACAATAAATATTCAGACTCTGTTTTCTCATTACGTGTGCAGATGTGTACAATGTCCAGCTATTTGGTGTAGGCTTCGTTTTGTGTGCACCTATAGTGTATGTGGAGATGTACAG